TGAAACACTTAACAAACATCTCCTGATCAACCACGAGTTTGACACAACAGCCTAATGTAGTGGTATCAGTTAGGGATAATGCTCAGAGCGCTAAGAGTTAAGCACTTCTTTACTACAGGGTGTGTTAACTTCGAGTACTAACATATTCGAAGTTTATATAGCTTTACGTTTTACGGCAGGGTTACTTCGTGTTCATTCAGTGAAGCGATTGCAGTGATAATGTGTTTTTAATGTGATGATACCAGTAATAATATGTCGTGTATGATGTGAAAGTCTAATTGCAAATAGAAAGTAAAACAGCTAAATATATTGTTATTAACTGATCATAAACTTGAGTTTATATGCGGTCAGATACAAACTCTGCAGTTCTTTAAAGAAAAAGAAGGTTTAACTTTACCAAGCATCAAATTGTAATTAACAGCACAAATCAGACTTTTGATATATTGGTGATGGGATGGATACACTGCAAAATCGAAAAGTTTGGAAACGGAATATTTATGGTAGTTCGCATCAAACTCGAGATTTATACCTGGCATGCATGATAGAAAGTTCAAGCACTGGGCAAATAAAGGCATCGCAGCAATATGCACAATGTTTAAGAGGGAAAAATATGTTGGGTTTTGAAAGACTGAAGGAAAAATTAGAATTAGGTGAACATGAACAATTTTGATACCTAAGATAAGTAAGGTATTATTATGAGTAGGAGGTTAAAACTGATCAAATAAAATGAGATTATTGAGGTATTTCAGAAGAAAAATGCAGAGAAATCTCTGCTTTGTACAGAGATTTAAGGTCATGCAGAAAGACCTCCTTTCTGTATATTAAAGACAAATAGGATAAAAGAAAAGAAGGAACTTTAATTTTTAAAACACAGTGCATGGCCACTAACTCCAGGATATAGAGAGAATTTAACATGATCTGTTTTGTTGTTGTTTTCTTAAGCTTCAAAAACGTGGAGGAATGCTGCATGCTGGAGACTGTGTGGACAAATTGATGTAGAATTGTGCACATGTATTTTGGTCTTGCCAAAAAATAAAGGGGTTGTGGAATAAAATGTGCAAAGCTTTAGGATATAGAATACAAAAATCATGCAAGACATTCTGTTTGGGCGACTAGTCAGATGACACAGGACAAAAGGAGGATGGATTTTTTTTTTTTAATGTTTTTAATATTATCAGTCAGTTAAAAAGCAATCACCAGTATAAAGCGGGATCATTGACCTCAGAGCATTGGTGGTGCATTGTTGGTAAAAAATAAGTTTTAAAAAAGGCATAGTTGTATTTACTTTGTAGTTACATTGACAGTTTAGGTAATCTTAAATAGGATTTTTCCCACGTGGATACAACCAACACACTGCTAATACAACCGATCTCATTGGGACTTTTTCATCAGCAGTTGCAGAGGACCAGCCAGATGTCCGTGTGGTACTGTCAGCTTACAGCCAGCAGGGAGATCCAACTCTTTATGAGGTCTACTACAGTGACCTCAAAAAGTTCATAGAAACAGTATTGGACTGTCACAGAGCTGAACTGTCCCAGGTCTTCTACCCACTTTTTGTCCACATGTATCTGGAGCTGGTGTACAACAACCATGAAAGTGAGGCTAAGGCCTTCTTTGAAAAGTGAGTCTAATTGTACATTATTCCAAATATCAACCACACTCCATTTTCCGTGCACCTTAATAACTTCATTTATTTATGTTCACCTCCCTCTCAGGTTCAGTGGGGACCAGGAGTGCTACTATGAAGACGATTTGCGTGTTTTATCTGGCTTGACCAAGAAGGAGCACATGAGAGGCAACGAGACTTTGTTGGACTTCCGCACCAGCAAGTTTGTCCTGCGTATCTCCCGCGACTCCTATCAGCTGCTGAAGAGACATCTGCAGGAGCGTCAGAACAACCAGATCTGGAATATTATCCAAGAGCACCTCTACATTGATATCTTTGATGGCATGCCACGCAGCAAGAGCCAGATAGATGCGATGTCTGGCAGCTTGGCAGGAGAGGCCAAGCGTGAAGCCAATAAAACTAAGGTTGGATTTATACACCACACATTTTGACGTTTGACAACTTGAATTTTGAACCCTTGACCCTATACTGAGGGCATCCAGTAGCTTTTTAAAATTAATATAGCCTCACATGTATCTGCCACCAGTTTGAGCAATTACTTCTGTCTTCTTTCCATGTTTCTTTACACTTATATACCAAAACCTTTGAAATGACATGTCCTTGTTCCTTTGTCACTCACCATGTGAAGGTTTACTATGGATTGCTGAAGGAACCAGAAATTGAGCTGCCCCTTGATGATGAGGATGAGGAGGCAGAGAATGAGGAGGGTAAACCCAAGAAGAAGAAGCCAAAAAAGGACAGCATGGGCTCCAAGAGCAAAAAGCAGGATCCAAATGCTCCTTCACAGAATAGGTAGGGATTGTTTACACAGTACTGTACTGTGTGTTTGTTGCACACTACTGTAGAGGCTAATCTAATCTTCTTGGTCAGGTATATTTTGAATGTCAAAGTCATGCTTTTTGAATCAACACAGAAAGAAGTCTGATAAAATGTGTCTTATTTAGGATACCCCTGCCAGAACTCAAAGACTCAGACAAGCTGGACAAGATCATGTACATGAAGGAGGCCACGAAAAGGATTCGTCTAGGATTAGATAACCTCCCCTCTGTCTGCTTCTACACTTTTCTCAATGCATACCAGGTAAAGTTTTATGATGCATTTAATTTGTTTGCCAGAGGAGCAGCAGTTCTCCAAAACGATGGTTAGTCAATACCTATTTTTTTTGGCCATAGTTTCAGTTGACTTATGTTTTCCTATAGAGGGGACAAATAAAAATAGGGAAAAAATAATTATATTCCACACTTGGACACTTGTTCATGAGTGATGAATTTAAAAAACAAAAAATCCTCATTCCTCTGACATATTTCCATGTTTCCATTGTAGGGAAATATGTAGGATTGCGTTCTGATTGTGGGTGTTTTGATATGATATCGGTCGTAGTTTCAGAATTGTCATACCTCTAATGATTGTGCATTGAAGCAGTGAAAACTATGACATAAATTAATTGTATTTATTTTCTTAAGGGTCTGACTGCAGTGGACTTCACTGATGACTCCAGCCTGATCGCAGGAGGTTTTGCTGACTCCACAGTACGAGTGTGGAGTGTCACACCGAAAAAGCTCCGCAAAGTCAAGTCTGCAGCAGGTACACTATTTTATACTGACAACATCTTTACTTGCAGATATTAAATGCTTATTTTACTAAAACATTTCCTCTGAATTTTTTCCTATTTTCTCTTAAGACTTGAACTTGATTGACAAAGAGTCAGACGATGTGCTCGAAAGGATCATGGATGAGAAGACGGCCAGCGAATCAAAGATAATGTATGGACACAGTGGACCAGTGTATGGCATCAGCTTCAGCCCGGACAGGTAGAGCCACTCGTCCACCTGACGATGATGGAGATTACATGTTTTTTGTTAAATCCTTTAAAAATTACACTATTTATTTATTTATACAACAGATCAAGCTGTATATATATCATGAAAATGTTTCTCTCTTTTCAGAAACTACTTGTTGTCCAGTTCAGAAGATGGTACAGTGAGGTTATGGAGTCTCCTAACGTTTACCTGTTTGGTGGCCTACAAAGGGCACAACTACCCAGTGTGGGACACGCAGTTTTCCCCCTATGGCTACTATTTTGTGTCTGGAGGACATGACAGGGTAGCCCGGTAAGAAACTTCAGACCTTGTTTTGTCATTGTGTGATAGCATATTGGAACATCATGTTGTTGATCCACATTGGCTCCTTCTACGGGTGCTTTTCATTGGTCCACCTTCTGCTTTTTTTTTTTTTTCTAAAACAGACTGTGGGCGACAGATCACTACCAGCCTCTGCGGATATTTTCTGGTCACCTGGCTGACATCACTTGCACTCGTTTTCACCCAAACTCCAATTATGTGGCCACAGGATCATCTGACCGTACCATCCGCGTGTGGGACGTCCTAAGTGGAAACTGTGTGCGCATCTTCACTGGTCATAAGGTTAGAGTTCAACAGACATCATTTAGAAAAAGTCATTTTAGTCACATTATATTGAAATGTGCATAATTGTTCATGTAATGATGTATAGTGCAGCACAGCTAGAAATAGTAAATGCTGTTTAAACATCTGTGAGTCTAATATTTTAATGTCATCTTCCAGGGTCCCATCCATTCACTGGCTTTTTCCCCCAATGGGAAGTTTTTGGCATCAGGGGCCACTGATGGCAGAGTCCTCCTGTGGGACATTGGCCATGGATTGATGGTGGGAGAGCTCAAGGGCCACACAGATACCATCTATTCCCTCAGGTTCAGCAGGGATGGTGAAATCCTTGCTTCCGGTGAGTGTTCCAAGTTTCTTTATACTTTTCCATCAAGCGATTAACCTCAAACAAAAATTATATGACATGATCACGGCTCAAAAATGCACTATAGCCGGAGTTACAAAGTGTAATGTTTTCCAGGTTCTATGGACAACACGGTTCGCCTGTGGGATGCAATGAAAGCATTCGATGACTTGGAAACAGATGACTTCACGGCAGCTACGGGACACATCCATTTACAAGATAACTCCCAGGAGCTTCTGCTAGGCACCTACACGACTAAATCAACACCTGTTATACACCTTCACTTCACCCGGAGGAACCTGCTTCTGGCTGCTGGAGCCTTCAATCCTTGAGACTGTTTCCCTCTGAGAACATAATCAATGGAAGCTAGAAATTATGCAAAACTTTGACTGCCACAAGTAACTGAGGAAGGTTATGGCACAGTGAAAATAACTATTTATCAGTTTACATTTGGCTAGCATAACAAATTAGGTTAGCCAACTATGAGAGCCAAACAGAGGACTGTATGTTTAAGTCGTTGTGTTGAGTACAGCCTTACTGAATACATGGCTGACATTTCTGTACTATAGTCTTTTATACTGGTGCACACTGTAAATAAAGAAAAGTGTTTTCTATGTTTTGGGCATAGATGTTTTTATTGTTAACAATGGAAAACCAAACACTCAAATTTCATTACAAGCATGTCCAGCTGCTCTTTCCATTCCAAGCTGTTGGAAATGATGGGCAAATGGAAGCCTGTAAGGACAAAAGAGGGTCAATCAATTCAACTGAATAACTACAACATGGTGCCAAAGAACACTTTCACACGTGGCAGAGTAAACGACCTGCTTTGCCATGCAAGCCACAATTGCTTCCCCAATAGTTTTCAAAACGAGCAAGAGATGAGTTTTTATTCGTTAGCAATTTATTGTTTTTATGCACAGCAAAAACATTGTTTGCATACCACAGACAAAATACACATTTAGTGCAAACATGCAAGTGTAGTAATAGACAAGCAGAATACGCATGGGTGATAAATATGGATCATAACTCTTCTTTCTGCTGCTCCCTTCAGGAGTCACCACAGTGGATTATCAGCCTCCATCTCTCCCCACCCTAGCATCCTCTTTCACACCAACCCCCTGAATATCCTCCTTCACTACAGCTCCATATTCCCAAATAAATATCGGTTATAAATTCTACCACTAAGAGCAGAATAACATTGTGTAATAAAACACAATTAAAGCTAACAATCAGAATTTCATCAATGTTTTGGTTTAGCAGGGAGTAGTGAAGAGTTACTATCGCAGTTTGAAAACCAGATATATTTAAAAGAAATAAATCACCTAATGACAAATGGATAGACAACAGTAACGTTCTGCTAAAATTTGACTTGACCATAGTACTTAAAAGCTGGTGGCTGGTTGCTTGCCTACAAACTAAACACTGAAAAGCAGAAAGACTAACATACTTACATAATCACTTTTCTGTGACAGCAGGCTTTTTCTTAGGCTTCAATTTGAAGAAAAGGGCGATGGCTGCAAGGCTAGCATATGTGGCCAAAACACACTAAAA